TTGGAATTTTGATTATATTCAATCATTTCTTATTTTAAATAACTATTAAGTTATTGACTTTTTAAAATCAATTGAAATCAAGTCAAGTTAGTTCATTTTTATAATTATGTGTGTTATATTATTTTTAATTAAATTAAATTTTAAAATGAGTAAAAAAATTATTTATACTTAATTTGGGTTTTGAATTGTTTCAAATTTGAGTTGATTAATCCATGTTATTGTAGCTTTAGTTTTACGACATTGATAACAAATTTCAAAATAGAATGAAAATACAATACAATGAAAATTTAAGTATAAAAGTGATGGAGATAATAATGATAATTTTAGAAGAAAATTCATATGCCCAACTTTTGCACAGATTAAAGGATTTTTTTTTTTTTGAGGATTTTGAAATTCGCATTATAAAAATACTAATTTAGATCAATGAGTTTATAATCATTCATTTGTTAATCAAGTTGCTACTAAATGAGTTGAGTAAAACAACTCAAACATTTCATTTGAAATAGATCATATTATAATTCAAACTCCTTCATGAAGACAATATAGGGTTAAACATTAGTTGGATTGTTATGACCCCTTACAATATTTTTTATTCTTTTCAAATAGAGAAGTTGATTTGCATCAAATATAAACAAAAAAAAAACCAAATAGGATGATGGTAATAAGAATGAAGTAACAATTAAAAATAACCATTTTTACCTTTACTAGAAATTTTTTATGAAAAATACGAAATATTTTTTACTTCTTTCAATGGAGAAGTTAATTGGCATCAAAATATCAAAAAAGATATTTTGAATGATAGTAATAAGAATGAAGCAACAATTAAAAATACACCATCTTTTCATTTAGTAAAAGAAATATTTTATGGAAAATATAAAGGTAATTATTGTGAATTTAATATTTCTAAAATTGTTGTTTGTTTAATTTTTATAAATTTTATTTAGTAAATTTTTTTTATTACTTTTGTCATATATATAACAAAATTTTTACCCAAAATTATATAATTAAAAATAAAAATATAAGGCAAAATTTATTACTTTCATTTGTGACGTAATACTTTAAAATTTTCAAGCTTTTATATGTAATTGTAATTTACTAACAGGTATGAAAATACATATACTATTAATTCAATCAAATCATTTTAAAATGTACTATTCTACCTTAAACTAAAAAAATTGAAGAATATCTTAGAAATATTGACTTAATATATGTTATATATATTTATTTAATTTTGTTTTAATACTTGCATTAGTATAAAAAGTTATAATATTAACTTATTATTACGTGTTACACTACAAATAGTAAATAAAGAGCATTTACTCATATTTTTCAAGTCATTTAAACTTGAACTTTTTCTTCTTTCTTTCCTTACTTGCAAATTATATCATTTAACATATATCGTGATTAGTTTCTTTTTTGGATATGCACAAATTAATGGTAGCATATTTGTAGATAATTAATAACTTAGTAAGTAATTATTGAAAACTTAAATGCAATCAACAAAATTTAGTAGTAATCATAGATAAATTAGTAGTAAATCAGTAATAACTTAATAGTAAATAATTGATAAATTTTTAGTAAATTACTAATAATATAATAATATATGTATAATACTTTAATGACAAATCAATTATAATATAGTTATAAATGTGTAATAACATAGTATTAGATCAATGATAACAAAAAATAAGTGATAACTTACTTGTTAATTATTGATAATTTAGTAATAAATCAATGATAATTTATTACTAAATTAGTAAAAATTTAATAGTAAATTAATTTTAGTTTAATAGTAATTAATTGACAACAGGAAATCATAAATAATTTAGTAATAACTCAATGATAAATTAATAGTAAATAATTGATAATTTAGCAGTTAATCATTAAAAATTTAAAAGTAAATCAATAGAACTTAGTGGTAAATCATAAATAATATAATAGTTAATAAGTAATAAATTAATAATAAATCATGCATAATTTAATATAAATTAGTGATAACTTAGTAATGAATTATAAATAATTTAGTGGTAAATAGATGATAATTTTATAGTAAATAATAAAAAAAATTAAGGAATGATAATATAATAGTAAATTATTGATAATTTAGTAGTAAATTAATAACTTATTAGTAAATCACTAATAATATAATAGTAAATTATTAATAACTTAGTTATAAATCAGTAATAATTTAGTAGTAAATTAGTTAATTATTGATAATTTTTTAGTGAATCATCGATAAATTAATAGTAAATCAATTATAACTTTTTAATAAATCATTAATAACTTAGTGGTAAATCACCAATAATTTAATAGAAATCATTCATAACTTAATAGTAAGTTGACTTGTTTCTTGTTGTTTTCCTATGAAGTTATGTTTTTCAAGCTCTAGCTCATTGATTGATGGTTGATTATGGAAGGTTAAGTACTGAAGCCTAGTTCTCATGACACATTCACTTCCTAAGGGATACATTAAGAAAAATATTTCTCTAACCATCCTGTTTCTTTTATCTCCTTTACCCTTACATATGCAGGTTGACTAGATGGACGAAAAGGAGTGTTTTTTGGAGAATTTTTTGCCTCTGGACATGTAAAATTTGAACACTCATGATATCTAGTCAAGCAACGGTTTTTAGGGCTTAGTAATTATTTATTCCATATTTCTTTGTTTCCTTAAATGTCATCTGTAGGGCCAGAATAAGTTATTTACTTTAGATTTTTTGTTTTTTAATGTCATCTGGAGTTCTATAATATGTTGTTGGCTGGAACCTGTTCCTTCCTTATGCATAATACAACTGGAGAAACATATAACATGATAAGTGAATAGGCTAGCTTGCTGATGGTTGTTCTGAACTATTTGAGTGTACTAAAAGCACAAATTCAGCTGGGCTACAGGGTTAGGGAATATTTCTAAAAGTTTTCTCAGCCAGTACTTTTCTATATTGCCATATTAAGTATGAACTGTTTAAATATGTTTTTTTTTATTCTTCCCTAGAATTAAATCCTTGATATAATTTAGTAATAAATTATTAATAATTAAATAATTAATAATTAATAACTTAATTGTCAATCATTTATGATTCTTTTTTATACTTGAAGTTGCTAAAGATTGAACCCTGATTACTACAAAAAATGAAGTCAAAACTTTCATTTTAAGTGTTAGGATAAACCTACCATGAACTTGTTCAATAAAAAAATTAGTGAAATTTTTTTAAAAATTGAATAAAACAATAGTGTTATCATATAAAAAGAAAATTATCTCATATATTATTAGTAGACTTTTTAAATTTCATGTTTTATAGTTGTAAATGCATAACAACATATTAGTAAATCAATAATAGATTAATAAAAAATAAGTAATAACTTAGTAGTTAATAATTAATAATATAATAATAAATCAATGATAACTTAATTGTAAATTAATATAACTTAACAGTAAATCAGTCTTAGTTAAGTAGTAATTAATTGATAAATTTAGTAGTAAATCATAAATAACTTAAAAGTAAATTAATGATAATTTAGTAGTTAATCATAGAAACTTAAATTTAAATCAATATAACTAAGTAATAGTTAATTATCAAGAATTTAATAGTTAAATAATTTAATAGTAAATTATGAATAATTTAATATAAATTGGTGATAACTTGACAATGAATTATGGTTAATTTAGTAATAAATCTATAATGATTTTGTAGTAAATAATTAAAAATTACATAGCAAATCAATGATAATATAATACTAAATGCATAATAATATAATAGTAAATCATTGATAATTTAGATGTAAACTATTGATAACTTAGTAGTAAATCATTCATAAATTAGTTGTAAATCAATGCTAATTTAGTAGTAAATTATTAATAATTTAACAATTTATCATTTATAACTTAATAGTAAATCGCTGATAACAAAATAATAAATCAATAAATTAATTGTTAATCATTAATAAATTTTGTCATATTTAAAGTTATCGGTAATTGAACCTTGGTTAGTAGCAAAACGAAGTTAAAAATTTTATATTGGGATATTAGGATAAACCTATCACGAACCTATTCGATAAAAAAATTTAGTAAAAAAATTTCTAAATTTGAATAAAACAATAATGTTATTATATAAAAATAAAATTACCCTATACTAGAATTGAATCCGCACTTTCTTATGAGAATTCATTGTTAAATATGTGATGACACAAATTTTATCAGTAATTACTAAAAATATATCATAAATTATCAAAAAGTTAAATACTAAAATTACATTAAGAGGTTATCAAAAATTTATCAATAATTACTAAAATTATATCAAAAATTATTAAACTAATATTGAAAGTTACCAAAATTACATCAAAATTATCAAAATTTTATCAAAAATTATCAAATTTTCTTCATATTACACCAAAATCAAAATTAAATTATTAATATTTATCATTATTATTATAATATCAAAAAATTATTTATAAAAATAAATTTTTAAATATAAAAATTATACATATATCACGCATGTGCCAAAAATTAGTATATAAATAAATATATGTCAATCTTTGTTTTTTCTTCATCCTCAGTCAAATATAAATGAGAAGGTGAGTTTACAATAGGCAAAAAATAAAATTATTATTGTGATAATGAATACATTGCTATTATATTTCCATCCAATATTTTCCTCCTCAGTTCGACTCAAAATTGTGTTACGATTCTTGAGAAATCAACTATAAAACAAAATACTATTATCATGCTTTTGTTTTGCATTTTAAAAAATTTAGATTTTTAATTTAAAATATTTAATGACCCAAACAACCAATTACAATGGTGAAATGAAAATGGATGCAGATATATATATGTTGTGGCAAGTTCAAATTGTCGTAAAAATATTACTTGTGAAAATATTTTAAGTACTTTTAATTTTTTAATTTAATGGTTAAAAAGATTTTTTTAAAAAAAAATGTGAGATAAAAGTTTGAAACCCACCATTTTAATTCCTATCCCGTACCAAAAAAGATTTTGAAGTGAAGTAAAATATAGAGCATAAAGAAAAGCATTCTGATTATTGTTGATTGTTTTACAACAATTTTACCCCTTCTAATAAGAATTTTACGTTTGCTGTGCATCCGCAAATACAATATTCCTGGGATACAAAGTAAAAGAATGAAAACCAACGGAGAAAATGACTTACAGCCCCGTGCGACATGCAATATATGATGATTGGTTGAATGTTACAAGTAGGCCTAATATTTGGTGGTTTGTTCAGTACTTTGTTATGTTAAGAATTGTTTAATTCCTATATGAAATTTTTACTAGTTCCTGTAAGCTCGACTAAAAATTTGAGTGGAGACGGTTAAAACCTTTCACATAATACTTGCCTAAAATATCCGTCTATGTACACCCTAATATCACATTTTCCAATCAGACCGCACACCCACCTAGCTAGCAACTCTTTTATGAATCGCTGATCTGGCCTGAACCCATTGCTAGACAAAAAGTTGTAATCAGAAACAAAAAGAGGAGCGTTGTCCAGAGTCCATTCTTCATCTCGGGAAATCAGATCAAAACATGACTTGTTAGGCCTCAACTTACATAGTCCCCGTCTCATCTGAGCTGGCTGAGGCCTCACTTCCCACTGGGCATGCTCCGCCTCCTTGGATCTCATCCTCGCTGAACATGCTCTCCTCACTCGAATTAGAGAAGGGCCCAGCATCATCATCACTGAAATCTGCCCTCCTCCTCCTCCTCCTTTGGACATCTTTTATTCCTCTTCCTTGCAAAGCCAGTCGCCTTCGCTTTCTCGCTTTCCGTTTGCCCTTGGGAAAATCTTCTTTCTGTGATTCGATGCTTTTGCTTTCTACCTCCTTTCTACTTCTTCCTTTGCCGTATTCATTATCCTCTGATTCTTCAACATCAGCCTTGCGCCTTTTCCTACTTGAATTAGTCTGGTAAAAAATGATGTGATTTGTATCTTTAATTAAAATTCAACAATAATTCGATTCATTAAAAATTTACAAGTCAAGAACTGTGAAATTATGGAAAATGAAATCAAACTAAATGCTAATTCCCAGTAAAATGTACAGGGTAGAAAAAAAGAATTATAGTTCAGGAGATATTTGACCACCACCACCACAAGCCCTATCTTTTCCCTTGTCCTCGTTACCTACTTTTTTCTATCATTTTTTTTGTTTACTTTTACACAACTTTTGGCTTCATATCATCACCAACAAATGCTTAGCAATGCTGGCATAAAAGACCAGAACGCCCAACCTCATTAGAGAGGTCAAGCAAAAAACTTTATAATACTCCCTTAGCAGCCATGCGATCCTCATCCCAATAGATGAAATAATCGTTAGACTTTAAATTGATAATCTGCCATAAGGCCACTGATTGGAATCTATTTTCTTTCCTTTTTATTCACCAACACTTTGGATTTTCATTGGCTAAACCAAAAGGTCAAAGCAGCGACAATCCACACAGAAAAAATTGCAAGACATGCAGCAAGTTATTATTAATCACAAAAGAAAGTCCACACCAGACTGGTTTTATGTTTTTGGGTCCCATAAGGTATTTCCCACCCAAACTAGCATCCCTTATTCCCTCAGCAGAACAGAGTGCAGAAATGAAGTAGTAAAACAAGCTCAGCCAAAAGCTATGTGAATACCTTGGGGCCACGGTCAACTAACTGAGCCCATTCTTGTCGATTTCTTAGGCAATCAAGAACAGCTTGAGAATGACTAGAATATGCATAGCGTTCTCCATTATGTTTCCTCAAGTTAGGCCAGTGCTGGAACAAAAGAAGAAAAGAAAAGAAAAGAATGAGAAGCAATTTTTTCCTCCAAAAGAACTACCGGGAGTAACAAGAAAGATGACACTAAGGCAAACAGTAGGCACTCTGCCTTAAAGAAGCAACACACCGGCAGGACTGCATTACAAAGTTCTTCATATGTCATTCGCCTGCCTTTGCTCATAATCTCATTTATCAAGCCTGAAAACATGAAGAAGAATATTACAAATGGTTTATTGGAGGGTGAGCAAATAAAATTAGATTGGTCCTAATTCAGGAAACTTTTGATAAACTAGACTTCCTCAAAGAGGCAGTTACCAGGTAAAGTAAGAGGTAGAGAACCACGAATTGTGCCTGTGTCATCATCAGATAAATTCATAGGTGAATTGAGCATGGATAACAAATTTTGATCATTAGCTTCAGTGGAAGAAGAAGGGCCACTGTTTGTGGTTGTGGTGGCTGTGGGAGGTACATTCTTGTCAACCCTTTTAGAAGCATCCATGGCAGATCCAATATCTAGTCTCTGATCAGGTGAAGATAGCACTTTATCAGTCCTTTTAGCCTCATTATCAAGCTCACGAGAACCACAGGACCCACCTTTAGATGCATCCTTGTTTTTTCTTCTAGGAACCTACCAATGCATCAATTAAGAACCATTCATCAAAGCCAAAACTTGTTGAAAACCTGTAGTACCAATGCAACTAAAACTTGAAACAGGAATTGCAAGTTGGCAGAAAAATGCCAGATAATGAAATGCAAGTATACCAAACTGTGATGCTTTCCTCTGGAGCTAGATGTGCGCTTTATTAGCATGCTTGTTGCAGTGGAAGATGCCAGCTGAGGAAAGCTACCAGCATGCCGCACACGTGGGACACGAGGTACTCTTGGAGAACTGTTAAGTTCTTGATGCAAAAGTAAAGCAAGCTGAAATCAGAAAAATAAGATGGAGAATAAATTTGTCAAAGGAAGCTCCAAAAAATAAAAATAAAAATAAAAAGGAAAGAGAAGTTATTATAAACCATCTTATTAGAAGATAGCACTTGATCTCACACCTCTTCATCACTCAGAGCAGGGGAATTTGATGGTGCAAAAGGAACCGCTGATGTTGCATGAGTAACCTTAGATGCAGACTGGGTACTAGACTGATTGAACTTTTCACTTTTCTGTGGGAAACCTGAAGCTGATGCCTTATTTTGCTGACCATGTGAAGCAGACTGACTTTGCAGTGGCCTAGCAGACTCACCAGAGATTGAGATAACTGAAGTATTCTGCACCAAAGATGGCTTTAAAGATGAGGAAGGCGCAGAATCTTTTGATTCAGATATGGTTCTTTTAGAAATGGAAGCATGTGAAATCCTGCTTTGGTGTGAGACTTTTGAAGTAGAACCATAAGAGCATTTTGGACGCTCTTTTGCTGCCTTCTGTGATAAGTCATGTTTGTCTTCATCCCTCCTTACATCATTTGCAGCATGATCTTTCTTAATGCTTGCATTATTGTCAGGCATTACTCGATGCTTCATGTTATTCTGAGAATCTATAGGTTTCGAGTTATCACAAATAGATGACATGGGGATTATGGCAGCAGATGAAGTGGAAGAAGAGTTTCCAACACATACTACCATTTTGTGCAGGATAGAGTGTTCCAAATATGCATTTAGTTTAGGCTCTTCAGCAGAGACAGGAACATGGTTGGATTGTGAAGAACTTTTCTGCACTGACTTGGGAACTTCTGAACCATCCAAATCGCATTTTAGCAATGAGCAATCACCAGACAACTCATTCACTTTATCACAATGACAATCAGCAATAATTTCTGATTCAATAACTTTGACCTTACTGTCAGACGATTGTGAACAGTCTCCCACATTATTCATTTGGCAAGTTTCTGATGTCTGATGGAAAGATATCTCTGTGTCTTTAGAATCATCAGGAGGAGAAGGTTGAGCAGTAAAGATAACCTTGGAACCATCATCATCCTTCATTTCTCTTTTCACCTCAATAACAGGTTTAACAAAACTGTGAGACATGCTGGTATTAGAATCTTTAAGAATATGATTGCGCTGAACATCCAGGGCAGTACTAGCTAAATTGTGAACCAAATGCTCCTGAGGACTTCTTGTAGAACCTTCTACACCACCATCTACTTTGTCAATTGCCATGTTATCACCCTATTGCAAGAATATGAAAAGGTTACTTAAAATACCAAGTGAAACCAAAAGCATATCATAAATCCACCTTCTCTACTATTTTACACACAAAGACCAATGGAGGATTGTAGATGGAAGTGATGCTTTCGATGTAACGTTTCAAATTTTAACACACTAACAAAATTTAGAAATTTTAACACACTAACAAAATTTAGAGAACAAGGATAGATACACCTACAACCCAACCCTATATATGACAAAGCAAACTAGCAGCGTAATACAACAATTTTAGATGGAACTAAAACACTGAAGCTTTTTAGGTTCTGGCATTGTCAGTTTTCATGACAAGATCTGTCAGCTTAAATGTGTAGACATCATATTTGGTCCAGGGCAAAATGGGATTTGACTTTGTTGACATCCCATTTGTCCAGAAAAATTTTCAGAGTTGAAATGGGCCTTTGGTTGTCAATTAGGCCTTAATGAAAAAATTTTAGGTCCAATGATTAAAAGCTCAAACAAAAATTTTTTGGGTTTTGATTTTAATTTTAATTTTAATTTTTAGCTTTATTTTATTTTATTATTTTTATTTTTTTGGGTCAAATCTATCAAAGTCAACAAAAGAAAACAGCCAAGAAACCGAAAAGAAAAACGTGCGAATTGGCAGATTGTTTGATATTCAAATTTGATTCTGAAACTTAATGATTTAACAATTTTGGAATTTCTTTGATCCCAATCTTCATGAAAAAGGGGAAAATCACAGAAAATCCAGTGAGCATTAAATTGGTCCAAGTTGAAATGGGATTTTTTTCCTATAAAAGAAGCAATTGGCAAAACAAAGGGGGAGAATCGAGCAATCAAGTATACAGAGCCTGCAATCGAGACCAAAGAATCGACAGAAAATTAAGCAAAACAGAGAGTCACGAGCAAAGGCCAGAGACAGAAATCAATCGAAGAAGCAATTCAAGCCAGAAGCAAGAATCAACAGAAAAGAAGAAATTCAACAGAAGCAGAGTAGCACATTAGGGCAATAGAGCCAACAGCAGGGCCGAAAGCATTCAAAAAATTTTCAGAAACACCCATTCAACCAATCAATTTCCAGAAGAAGCAACCAAGTGAAATTCCACAGCAAAAGGAGGCATTCAAGTCCAATTTTCCATTCCGCAGCAATAAACCCATTCCCCGCAAACATCTTCAACCTCAAACCTAACACACCCGAACACACCCACAAGTTCATCAATCAAATTCAACAAGAAGAAAATCCAGAACCCAGCAGTTCCTCACCAACCCAGCAAACCCTAAGATAACTCATACCCAGAACCAAACCCATGCACAGCAAAGCAAGCCTCAACACAACCAAATCAACAATCCAGAAAAGCCAGAAAGAACCAAAATTACCCATACCCAAAAGCAAACCTGAACCAACCAGCAATCAAAGCCAAACACAAGCAAAGTAATTAACATGAGCAGCAAGCAACACAGAGAATAAAAAGAGGTTTGGGTAGTGAAAATTTTGGCTCTTTATTGGGGAATTTTAGGAAATTTTTGCAGCTGGGTTTCGATCAATGAAGAGGAGATTGGAAGGTTCGAAAGGAGAGGGTTCTAGTAGAGGCATGGTGTTCAGTGGTAGTGGTGATGGCGAGTTCGCTGGATTCTGGGTTGCATTTGGGTTCTGATTTGGGGATTAAGAGAGGATGGTGCCACACAGAGGGGGAAGGAGTAAGGTTTCTGGCTTCAGGCCGGTGGTGGTCTCCAGCATCGACTGATGGCAGGAAGGGGCAACGGTCACCGGTTTCTGGGTTTTGATAGGTGTTGAAAAGCGTAGAGAAGGGAGAGGTTTGAGACTTGTAGAAGAGAAGCAGACAATAAAGGAATATGTGGATTTTTCAAACCACAGTGTTTAGGAGACCAAGGTCAGCAACTAAATCCATTTAACCCACGTGCCATTAAGCTTGACCCGACTTGTTTTTAGTGAAAGTTTGATTTTTTTTCATTTTTTAATTTTCTATTTTTAATTTTTTATTTGATTCTCCATTTTTATTAATTATGAATGATAAAAAAAGAAAAAAAAAAAAAACTTTGATAGGATTTTCATGGATTAGAAATCTTTAAATTATAAATTCTACCAAACGATTGAAAATTTTCTTCATGAATTTTTGATAAAATAAAAATTTTCAATCTTACCAAACAATCAGAAGATTTAAATCTTGAATTAAATTTTACCAAACTATTTGAAAATTTAATGAGTTTTTCTTAAATTAAATTTTATAAATGGATTTTCAAATAAAAATCACACCAAATGAGTGGGGGATGTGCATTGAAATAAAATCCTACAAAACTATTAGAGAATTTTATTAATTGTTTTCAAATAATTAATTTCTTGAAAAATACATTAATGAATCCAACGATGGAACCTCTTCAGAGTGGGACACTAGTCTTTGTGAATACTCATGAAGTGTGCAAATTATCTTAAATTGCTACCAAACTATTGAAGTAATTTTAAAAATAATTTTCAATAGTTAAATTATTTGGTAAAACCATAAAAATGTTTTAAAGTTTGGAAAACTTGAAATCAAACTGGTACCATCCTTTGGACGGGTATTGTGAAGATGCTATAACCTTCCTCATGCTAACCACACTCCCAAACCTAAATATGGTTTCGTAGACTAAAATTTACCATTTAAAGATACCTAAGTAAAGCTTAAGACTCCTCTTTAAAATGGGACAAATTAAGTTAGGTAGCTAATTGCACCTAAACAAAAAGATTGGTGCCAACTTCTAAAACTAATGTTTAGCGATAGATCCACGGATTTATATGTTATGACACCGTGACTTATATGTGAGTGGAAGTTTGCTTAGGATGGTGCACTATGGTACTTTAATCATTTCCAAGATAGGTATGCCTGCAAGCCATGAATACACAGATTCTGTAACCAACAAAAACTTTATATGGTTAGTTTGCTTTATTTATTGGTAAAAGTTTCCTCTCCTGCATGATAGCCTTGACTACCTTTTCTTGAGCAACTTGCCCGTTGCTATTATCACTCTATCCCCTAGATGAAAAGCAAAACCTATTTGCCAAGAAGCAAAATGGCCTACTACACCATTTTGAGACAATTGCTTTTGATTTCACATGAACCAATGACATCACAGACTTGCTTCTAGAAGATTAAAGATTGTGGAGGTTGTGATAGTCCTTGTGAAATCAACTAATAGCAATTCTTTTCTTCTGCTAGATAAAGTTTTTTTTAAAAAAAAAAACATTACAACAGAGAAAACTAACAAAAGATATAAAATTTCATCCATGATATCAATAAATAAAAGGCGTAAAAAAAGATACCTCTTCTTTAATAGGAGATATCCCAGAATTTTTATGCTCTAATGGCAATGCAACAAGATCCTCTGTTTTTGGAGAGCTCATAATAGCTGCGGGAAATTCATGATCAGCCATCTCCTCGTTCGCTTCACTTCTAATTGAACAATCATGTCCAGACATGCCAGAAGTTGAGACCTCTGAAGCACGCTCCCTTCCCCATAAGTTGTTCTTAGGCCTTTCAACTGCATGGTTTGATCCAAGATTACCATCTGATGTGGGTTCTAGAAGCACACTGTCCTTCAAATTTTTGTTCTTTACAATCTGACCATCAGTCTTGAAAGCCTTTGGATCTCTGTCTTCATAAAATTCCAATTGTTTTGCATCACTGCTGGGTCTAAACACTAGTAATAAGAATGCAAACAAAAACAAAAAACAGCAAAAAGAACCTGGAGTCAACATGCCTATGCCAACTTTGGTAAAGATGAGGCTCACCATTACCATTGATTCCAATAATATGAAATGTGTGTTACAGAACAAATAACCATATCTTTCATGATAATAAGATAAACTTATTCCCTGCATGTGTATATGTTTATACAGAATTAAATTCAATTTCGAAGTTAAATAACCTGTTTTAGGGGACTGTACAGAACTCTTCTTCTCGTAAGCCTCTTTCTCAGCAGCACTTCTAGCCTTCTTCTTTGCTCTCCTATCTTTAGACACCCCAAGCTCATCTTCCTTCCACCTACTGGAGGATACCGCAACAGGCTGAAGAACATGTCTATCTTTCCTTACCCCATTCTGCCAACTTTTTCCATTCAAATCTTCACCCTCACTCTTCTTCCCTTCATTTAAATCTTCCTTATTCGGATACATTGGCACGCCAAACATCCTCTCCTTAGACAATGAAAACAGAACTCCAGCACCATTATCAACCGGATTCCCATTCTCAATCTCATTTTGCTTACCATTTTCATTATCATCTTCTTTTTTCTCATCCCAACACGGGAATTCCCTATACTGGAAATTAAACTTTTTTGGCACATAGCCTGTACACTTCCATAACTCTGGCGTAAAAACGCCAGATAACCCTCCAAACAAACCAGGCTCCCCTCCTGGAACCCCTTGAACATGAACACGCTCTTCCATAGGGATATCAGTCCAAAGCCTAAGGGGCCGCCGGGAAGGCACATGGCCCACGTAACTACTCTCTATTCTAACCGTTTTCGTAGGCAATTCAACAAGCAACTGTGCCACCTCCTTCTCCTCACTGTCGTTACGGTTGCTCTTGCTCTTGCACTTGTCACAGGCAAACAACTCTTCACCCTTGGTGTAACGCGAGCAGCGCGTGTGCACCCACACGCCGCACTCATCGCACTTCACCATCTCTTCACCGTCATCAAAATTGACGCCGCAGATACAGTCCACGGTCCATGAACCGTCTCCCCAGTCGTCATGAGGATCAGCCCGATGCGTCCGGCCTTTCATATTTATTATCCTAAACCCTAACTACAAAAATTTTAAAAACCTAATCTAAAAAAAAACCTAGATTCCTATCCCCCAAAAACTCGCATTGAATTAAAATAGCTCCGCTAAGTTAACAGTTTTTCCTCTTTTTTGCCGAAATTGAGTTGAAATTTAAGAATTGAGTACCTTGAAGCATTATAATCCTTTTCTGATACAATGATTTGAGGGACTCTCCCGGTGTCCGCAGAGGTAGACGAAAATGGCTTCTTGCTTGCGCAGCAATGCGCAGACGGACTGGAACTGAGAGGGAATGAACTAAAAACCAGAACTATGAATTCTTTTGGCGTCCGTCCTTTTGTTTCTCTTCCTTTTGCGGCTAGGCTTCAAAATATCCAAGCCCTTTTTCAATTGATGGGCCCATCTCATTACCATGACCCATCGTCACTCAGATGGCTCTTGTACGCGAGTGAAATTATAGTAGTTTTAGAACGAGTAAAACTTTTTTTAACTATTTTATTTTTTACAAAAAAATTAGGGTGTTTTTTTGGCCTTGTTTTTGTTTTTTTGTTTTAATTTCAGTTTTCTTAAAGAAAACATGATTAATACTTTAAAAAAAAGAACAATATTTTGTTCTCATTGTTTTCAAAAACATGTTTCCATTTTTATTTTTAAAAAATTTATTGACTATGTTCATAAATATTATAATATTATTTTAAAAAAAAAGTTTTAAGAGGTTTTCAATATTTTAGCCTGTTTTAATGCATAGTTACTATTTTTTTCAACAACACATAAATGCTATTTCACCTACTTTTCACTCAGCCCATAACCCAAAAGCTAAATAGGGTTTATTTATTAAAATAGGCTAAAATACAAAAAAAATTTCTTAAATTATTCTATTTTAAAAATAAAATATTATATTTTTATTATATTTAAATAAATCTTTATTCTTTGATTTATGTTCAAATAAGTTATTATTTCAAATGAAAAGCATGATTATATTAAGGGTTTATTTAAATATAAATTAAATTATTATTATTATACAAAATTAAAAGTCAAGAACTTTTTTTGTGTAAATCAAAATTTTAAAATTTATTTGAATATAATAAAAAATACATGAGTTCATTTAATTAAAATGATGAAATTCAAGTACTTTTTTATTATTTTAGCCATTAAAATGATATTTTGTATATTTTCATTATAAAAATTCTGAATGAAATTCATTATTAATATAATATATAAAAATTGAAGACCTTTTTAATTTGAAAAATTTTAGTGTTAATTGAATCTATCAAAATTTTGCTAAATTTTCTTTTTCTTCTTATTAAAATTTGATTTTCAAGAATTTCCAAAATCAAACTCAACCTTTAAATTTTACATATAAATAAAATCATAATCTTTAAAAAAATCAAAATTTGTATTTATTTATTTTTTATAAAAAATAAAAATATTTTTTAATAGACTTGACAATTTAAAATAAGACACGATAATATGATATGAAAATAACACGAATAAATAACATAAAAATAACATCGCTTAAAATTAAAAAATATATAAATAAATTTAATAAAATAAAAAATTATATTTTATATTTTCATGTCAACACGAATTAAGATATGTGATTTTCGTATAAAACACAATATGAATATAATATTTTACACAATACGATAACATAAATTACTATATCTACTTTTGAATATTTAAATTTAAACTTAAAAAATACTTTTAAAACTCAATATTAAAATATAATTCGATATCTAATAATATTAAAAGGATCAAGATAAAATTAGATATCTACATAATTTAATGAAAAACAATAAAATTATATTTTTTTTATAAATTTATAAGTGTGAGAGAAATCACTAAATTAAATTATAAAAATCAATAACTAGCACATAAATTAAATAAATTTAATATATAATTAAAACAAATTCATATTCAATAAAATTTCAATATAAAATTTTAAAATTCTAAGATATCCTTTTGTGGCTGAATTAAAATCTCTTTGCAAGTGATAATTTGTTTAGTCAACCATAAAACTTGAATCCTATCGTGAATTTTTATAGGCAGAAAATTTTTACTAATTATGTCTTCGAAATTTTTAACATGTAATAATTGTCAATTACCTGCTTGCTCAAGTTGTCTGCCTTGGTGGTACCTTATTGTTTATTTGTAATAAAAAAATTTTTGTTTTTTCTTTTTAATAATTTGCGATACCCTTTAAAAAATCTTATTGATTGCTTAAATTTACTTTTTTTAATTAAGGATTATGTTGACGTTATTTAAGTTTTTTTAATATTTTAATATTCTTTTTCTTTTTTGCCATGCATTGTTATTTTTATATTAAAATATTATAAGAAAAATAGTTTTTTTTGCCTATAAAATTTTGGTTTAATAGTAAATTGCAGATTTGAAATTTTGAGATCTCAATTCAATTTTATTATATGAGTTTGATTTAATTTTTTTGTCTTATTTTATATGTTTTTTATTAATTTTTTTGTCAAACCAACTTAACTTTAACTATTATTTTTAATAAAATCATAAAGTAAAAAAGTTTTTAAATATGATTTATAAAGTTTGAGTTTTAAATTTTTAAAATATATTTTTAAACATTTTAATGCAATATAATATTTTAAAAAATAACAATCACAGTTAAATTGGTTTGATTAAAAAGTTAATATAGGACATAAAAAATAAGACAAAGAGCATATTAAATTTATTGTTCAATTGAGTTATCTGTTTAATATAAAATTTATTTTTATATGTAGTATTTAAATATTATTATAAATATTTTATATATTTTATCTATTATCCCGTAAATATAAAAATAAAAAAAAGGAGGCTTATGTACGAAATATCTTTCTCCCTCGTAAATATTAGTGCATTTAATTTACGTTTCAGGAAGGGAAATTCAAAATCGCACGCGCTTGTTCCAAATCGGAGTCAACATTTGCTTCAAACCAAGGTTGGCGAATTGGCTACTCAGACAATTTACACATTTACCAAAATGCCCTTCATCAGCCAGTCCAGTTGGAAAAAAAAATATTTAATCATATCTTAAATATTTTATTAAATAAAGATATTTAATAAAAAATTTAATTTTTCATTAAAAAATAAATATTATATTATATGAATAAAGTCATTTTGATGAATATGTCTTTAGATTTTTTATTAAGTATGAGGATTGCGACGAATAATATGATATTTAGTTTATATTCGTATTTTATATATATTTATATATATTTAATAAAAAATTTTTAATTAAATAATATCAATTATTATTTTAAATTAATTAAAATTAATATATTTTTATTTAAAAAATATATAAATATACAATAATTATATAAATTATATAAATATGTAAAATAAAAATAAATAAATTTTTATTTTTTTAACAAATATAAGTATAAAAATTATCTATCTTTATTAATGTTTTCTAGATGAGAATGAAAAAATTTTAAAATATTTATTAAATATAAATATAAAGATAAATATAATATAAAATTAAAAAAATAAAAATGAAAAATATTTTATCCACCGGGATCGGTATCCTGACATCCTTAACGGAGAGACAGGTACAGTGGTGAAACCAGCGACAGTAACTCATTTATGGTAAACAGAAACACTCCTTAGCCAATAATAACGCGACACTTCATAGTTCAGACGCACGATGGAAGTGGTGAAGTATCACAGTGCATACATACATCTGAATGTCATGTCATGCATGCACATGTAAGAAAAAGATAGAACGAAAGAATATTATTTTGGAATTTTTTTAGGTTTTTACATTCCAACAAACAACCCAAAATCTTTTTTATTTTTTTAAATTTAAGCTCAGCATCTTTTGAAAGGCATATTTTTTTTTTGTTAGAACTTATAGAGGACGATATGAAGCAGATTCTCTTCGGCCTCTCTCTTTTTTTTTTCCTTTTCTCAGATAATCACTTAGAAACAGTGGTAGAAACAAGAAAAATAAAGGGAAAAGGAAGAAAAAGGAAAAAGAAGGAAAAAAAATTACAAACACTGTAAGAAACGAAAAGTCTTGCCTTTATTATTATTATTTTTTTGAGTACCTTTGTTTTCTGCTGTTATTTATTTCCATTTTGTTTTCTCCGTAGTGAACTCGAAGTGGGTTTGTAATTTTGTTCGTCATCATTGGTGATGATTGTAGCTTTAGCTTAGTTTCCAAAAGGATTCTATCATTTTTATATTCCCAACATTTCAAAACCAGAATTTTTTTTTGAAAATGTTTGGGTTTATAAGTTTCTAGTCTTTTTGTTGATCAGTTGATAAAAGAGGGAGCTAACTTTTAGGAATAATCATCAGGCAATGGCGGTAGTTGAGAATGTTTCGAATCAAGATGCGTCTGCAGCAGAAGTGGCAACAAACGATCAGGATCAGTCAAAGCAAAACCATGTTCGGTCAAGAATCGATCCGAGCTTACATCAGAACGATAAAAGGGTTGTACAACAAGATCGGTGGTCCACATCCTCGATCCAACGGTGGGGATTTACAGAGGAGCAATGTTAGTGGTGGGGACGAAGTTGGGGATAGCTTCAAGAGAGACATGAGAGATTTGCAGGAACTCTTCTCTAAACTTAACCCAATGGCTGAAGAGTTCGTGCCTCATTCAGTTGCTAGCCATGGACTCAATGGAGGGTTTTTCACTAACAACTCTTTTTTGCAAAACAACAATAACATCTCTAGGAATGGCCATGCTAATGGCAACGGTGCTGGTAGGCGGGTATGCCATCAAATACCCATTTTTTGATTGGTTGCTTTGTTTACTGTTAAATGAAGATTATTCGTCATGGTGGTGGAAAATTTTAGAAGAGAAGAAAATAAAATTGATTTGTTTGGGAGCTTTGTTTGGGGTTTGGAGGATGAAGGAGGTTCTTTCTTTTAGCTTTGTGTCCTGTTATTGACTCGCTGATGCTTGAGTGCATTTTGCATAAGGAAATTTTTATGTTTTTCAATCTTTGCTTTACCTTTTCCAATCCATGCGCTGTTCATTGATCTTGTCTTTCTCAGAAGAAAATTTTCAGTCAAGGAAAACGGAGATTGAACAGCAGGACAAGCATGGCCCAGCGGGACGAGATTATCCGTAGGACTGTTTATGTGTCTGATATTGACCAACAGGTACACATTCAGCATTTTCAGCTATGTTAGGATGCTGCAATCAATTCTGCAATTTCTGCTTTATTGTTTATCTGAGATTTAGATTCATGTAGTCTTTTGCTTGTTGGGATGTAGGTCACTGAAGAGCAGCTTGCAGGTTTATTTGTGAGTTGTGGACAGGTGATTGTTTTCATTTCTTGTCTTAACAGTTTTCATCAAAACAGTGTATCTGAATGAACTTCTTTTCTTATGAAGGTAGTTGACTGCCGCATATGTGGTGATCCTAATTCTGTACTTCGTTTTGCCTTTATCGAGTTCATTGACGAAGGTAATGCCCAAGTATGCTTATTTAATGCATAATTTAGGGAAGTTTCAATCTAACTGTAAAACGTGATATTTACATGCTTTACTTCTTGATGGTTTGGCTGTGCAGAAGGTACACGAGCTGCTCTGAGTCTGGCAGGGACTATGCTTGGATTCTACCCAGTTAGGGTGCTGCCTTCAAAAGCAGCTATTGCACCAGTTAACCCAACATTTTTGCCAAGGGTGAGGCTCATTGTTGCAATTTACTATACTGGAACTTGTTTGGAGTCTTCAATGCATTTTCCATTCTCATCTATCAGCTTGTTAAATAATTGTTGTTCCGGTTTCGGAATGAAGATGAACGCCAGATGTGTGCAAGAACTATCTACTGTACAAACATTGACAAGAAGGTGAGAAGCTTTTTGCATTTTGGAATGTTGATTATGAATAATGATCCTGATTGCAGAAAAAGGACCTATGTCATTTATTAAATGATTTTACACTCTGCAGGTTACTCAAGCTGATGTTAAACTCTTTTTGAAACAGTCTGTGGGGAGGTTTGTTATTCCATTAACTCCAGAGTTCTATTTCTTCTATTTAGTACATCAAAACCTGTGTGGGGATGCATTTAAAGGGACATCTTGTCTTATGTAGGTTTATCGCCTAAGGTTGCTGGGGGATTATCACCATTCAACACGCATTGCTTTTGTTGAGTTTGTAATGGTAATTGTTTCTTCCTCTTCATTCACGCAATTTTTGAACATGGCTGAACAAGTTTTCTCTGGTTTCTGAAGGGTTTGATGAGGTAAGTGAGTGCTTTTTACGTCTTTTGCATGAACTTCCTTTTAGAACCTAAAGATTTAGGCTAGCCAGTGAGTATGACGTTTGTTTTAACTATAGGATGTTGGGTTTTGTGATCCTTTTCTAAGCTAACATTTTGTAAGAAAGATCAGGGTGCATTTGGTAGGAAGGAGGAGGAAACAATAAAAAGGAGAAGGTGAGGTAGTGAAATGAAACTAAAGAATATTCCAGTCATTAGCATCTTGGGAAGTGCCCAAAGGTCCTGTTTTCCCCTTATCTTAGGAAAAGTCCTTGTTAAAGTTCAGAGAGGTAAATTTTAAGGTTTTTTGTGGGACATCTATACCTCCTGAAAATTTTCCTAAAATAAAAGAAGCTTAAGGTTTTTTAACGTGTTCAATGGAGATACTGAGGGAATCGTATTGTAGTAGCTTTTCTATTCAATTTCACCTTGGAGTTGCTTGAAGAATTGACAACAGTTACTTCAGCAGAATTGATCTCTTAGCATGTTCTCAACAATCTTAACTGTTTTTTTTTAAATATAACATTCAATTTGCGAACTATGACAGGATTCTTACATTAGTTTAGCATTTCATCCACTGGTAGTCAACTACTCTCAAGTAGGAAATTGAAACTACATTGCCTAATAGTTGCTGGGCATGGTCTCTCTGAGTACCTGACTTTCTAATTTGGTAAGAGAACAACGTAACATGAAATATTTCTACCTCCTTATGGTCCGTGGAAGATACGGTGCTCCTTTTCCTTCTGTTATCCCTTACCTCCCTCTCTTTACATTACCATTTTACTTTTAAAATATAGCAGGTGTGAGAAAAATAAATTGGAAACATCTACTCGAGCTTTTTTTTTGGTAGATGCAAATCTGCTTCTTGGTAGTAGATTTATTGGATTTGCATTTGAAATAAAGTGTATCACATTTTATTGTTTTCTAGGGAAATTTTTGCAACTATTATCCTCTTTTGCTTATGTAGCAGTGACCCTGCGCTACCCTATTGAATCTTTCCTGTGAGTAAAGATGGTACACTTCCCTGCTCTTTATGAAATGCAGTGATGCGAAGCAGCTGGGTTAATTGTTGCCAATGATGCATTTTCCTTTTCAGTTGATTTTCCATGTGTGTTGTGCCTATTAAGGGTGAACTTTTGCCTATGTTCATTTCTTTGGATCCCATATACATTTTGGGTTATATGTCTTTTAGGGCCTCCCAAACATTTTCGATGTTGATTATGAATCTCTTGCCATAACAATCCTTGGAAAAGGCCTTATATGCTAATGATAGTGCGATTATGTCTCTTTTCTGTTTTAACATTGGGTCAGATTGTGTTTCATAAGCACCTGAAACTTTAGAAGAGTGCATTCTTCTCTTGTACTAAGAACTTGCTTATCACTTATTATTGTCTTTGCTCTGGTGCTCTATTTAATGATGATGCAAACATTGGCCATTCAGAGCTTTGGTTTAGTTTGCACAGATTAAAGCCCTAGGGAGCTCTTAGGAGGACATAGAGGTCTTGCTTTGGGATCAAAACTGCCTCCCCCTTCTCCCATGGGCTATGCCCATCCTATGTACCAACAAAAAAATGTTATGATTTAGCTGTTCTATTCTAGTATGGTATGTATTACCTAGCAACTGCAGTTATGCTTGTTATATAACAAAATCTTTTGTTTGTAACTATGTTGTGGTTATTTGCTAAATACTTTAACTTGCACAATAAGCTAAAGAATACTTTAATCAAGAAATGATTTGTGTTTGTTACTATCAAAGGAATTATTTAAAGTGGTTTGGATTGGGATGACAAGTGATATAGTGAATTATTTCTTGATTGTCTGCCTCTCTTTGGTTAATGAACCTACATTGACTTACCAGAGATGTTATCCAAGTTTTGGAACAAGCTTGAAGTTTGCGAGTGATATGTTGCTCCTTTTTCGTCTTGAGTATGGCTTGCTTTAGTGTTCATGAATGAATGAATTTGTAATCTTCTCATTTACATGCAGGCTGAAAGTGCGATTGCTGCTCTCAACTGTAGTGGTGTGGTTCTGGGATCATTTCCCATAAGGTCAGATTCTTGATTTTTCCTTCATTTCTCAAAATGATATTTTATTTTGTTTTTCTTTTTTTCTTTTTTGCCATAATTTCTCTCCAAAGATTGATCAATTAGTTATGACCATTCTCTAAGTCAACCTCGGTTCTTGTGTATGATCAGGGTAAGTCCGTCAAAGACCCCAGTTCGGCCACACACTTCTCGCCTTCCCATGCACTGAATCATCTTAGTGCTCTGAACTGATTTTATACCAGTTTATATATATATATATATATATATATATATATTTAAAATACAAACACACACCCATGTAAAGATGTTTCCCATTTTGATGGTCTGCCTGTTTTATATTATATATTGTCCTCTGCTGCTGTGCTTGGGATCATTGTTACCATAGGAGTCATCTTTTGTTTATCCTTGCAACTTGCAATACATAGAGTTGGATGGAACTTCGAGGCTTTGAAAGATGTTATGCCTTATTGCTCGCTAATGTGGACTGGGCTTGTCCCAAAATTAAACTGCTCTTTGCACTTTTCTGGTAATTAAAAGGCAATGTGACTGATGAAGTGGTTTTTTAGTACTTTTGGGTTACTGGTACTATGCAAGCTTTGGCTCGATGACTAATGGAGATGGCTGCTCTTATCAACTTTGCCCCTTCACTCCTTAGTCTTAAACTTGTGTATGTGGTTGGAATTTTTGAACAGCACTAATTCAAGTTAGGTTGACCTTATACTGTATTGTTATGGCATTACATTTCGTATGTCCAAGAAAAGACAACTATCTCTGTCCATTGCAAAGTCAGATACTTATGAATAAATACATGGTTACACTGCATGGAACCTGTTATATATATGATGGATAATTTGGTTTCATGATAAAGATGCCCGAAATGCAAGCTAGTTTGGTGTAAAAAAAAATGAAGTATCTGCAGATGGCTATTAATTGTTGGAGAAATGGATTCTAGAGAATTTAACTCTAGGTTTCATTTTGGACCAAATTAAAAAAAAAAACCTCCAGGCTTCATTTTTAAGGTGATCGCTTTGTACTTGTATGTTGTCTTCACTGACCAAATTTGCCTAGAAATGTTGGTGGGTAAACTCTTCCCTACTGATTATCTGTCCGAGCTGTCTTTGGAATCTTATAATGTCAATTCAATTACCCTAGTTAAATACCTACATCCTGGATTTATCATTTTGGGTTCATCGGCCATGGAGAAAGCAGGCAGCCGAACTATCAATCTTTGTCTTAGTTACACCAATCCAATCATTGATAAAATTAAGATTGGACGCCCGTAAGAGGCTCGGAACTCTCCAAGTTCCAAAGAAAAAAAATTTGGTTGGGCTACCTAAAAGATTGATTGAAGTCGAATATTATCTAACATACAGGAAATTTCTTCCATCCAAGGTGCACAGAATATAACTGGCACGTAAATTTGTTCAGAAAACATTAGCACAAGCATCCCTGTGATTGTGAAACAACCAGCATGGCTAGTATATTTTGGTGGTGATCCAACACTTCTATGATTATTACTAGTTAAAACAATTAGGGATATTTCAAGCATTACCTAGACGTAGTTACTGCATACTTGCATAAGGGTCTATAATCGGCGAAAAGTCTTTGATTTGTGTTCATGAAATACAATATATAAAAATGTAATTATCGTCAAACACTCTGCGAGTGATTTGCGAACCAGTGTTGCCATGTCCAATGAATGTCAGCATTTTGTGAAAAAGCTCAGAGGTGCAGAAGGCATCTAAGCGATTTACCGGCAGCTAGCAGTTGAAAGGCTTCATTTATCTTCTCGAAAGGAAGCTCATGGGTGATAAACTCGTCTAAGTTCAGGGTCTGGAATCAAATTCCGAAACAGAGTCAGTTGCATTGGACTTAAAAAACTCAACTATATACAAAGAAAATACCAGGGCTTGATCATGAACTTACCCCACACATGCATTGTTTGGCAAACTTTGGTAGTTGTGTTTTGCCTTTGAAGCCTCCGAAGATCGATCCTATGATCTGACGCCCGTTAAATAACTCCATTGGATGGAGAGGTAGCAACATCGGGCATGGGTGAATCCCCAATAGTACAGTCAGTCCCCACCCCTGTATATCCCAAATGATGCTCTTCAAATCCATTCAGATACATTCGTGTCTTGTATGGCTTCATTAAAGTTATGAAAAAGAGGGGAAAAACCAGAGGCAGGGAGTAATAGAAAAGGACTTACCGTATGGGTAGACAAAAATGCCTCACGAAGAACTTCAAGCTTTCCAGCACACTCAAAGCTGTAATCTACACCTCCATCTATCATAGCCCCGATTTTCTGCAGGCACCACTTTCGTTAACATAATTATACTTGGGCCTTTCGAGCGCAAAAAGTCCTCAGTACTATAAATGATTGTTACTAACCTCATGCACTGGCACTTCTAGATCCTTTGGGTTTATGAATTCTGTTATTCCGACGGCTTTACCTGCATGCTCATACATATACCGAGAGACTGAAAACCTTCCAAAATAATCTACTCATAGTAATTAGCTTAATTATGAAGATACTGCAACCGCCACGGCCAGTGGCAAAAGTTGAACTAAAAAATTCAGTTACATTTTATCATCTTTTATTTTTTTTCTAATTACGTAGCTTAGGCTCCATTAACGAATTAGGAGTTGTTTAATCTGGATTCTGGAATCGTCAGTTAATAGAAACTTCAACACATTGAGTTGAAATTCAAGAAACCATTCTTCATTGTATCATAATTTGAAATATTTTTTTGTCATCTCGTTTTTGGAAAGAATATTGCTAATCCATTATTCTGAATTGCTTTGAGCAATATTATCTCCGTCACAACCGAATCGGAGGTTCTTTTTTATGCAGTATGACCGGTCTAATAAGATTAGAAGAGAAAAGTACCTTTGGCAAATTTGCTTGAGTTGATATCAACACCAATTATTTTTGATGCTCCTCTTACTCTTGCTCCTTCAGCTACCTGGTCAACTCCAATTTGCAATTTAGTTCAGAATCTTATATCAGATCCGTTTACTTTTTATACACATACAAATAACCGTTTACTTTTGCACTTGGGATGAAACAGTAATAAGTTATATAGTAGATGATTTCCTTAAAAAATATGCCTACAGTTAATCAATTAAAATATAGAATTGTTTTAAGTCTATCAAAATTTTATATAAAACCCAAACTTATTAAATGAAGGATTCTTGCATAATTTTTTAAATGATCCGATTATTGTAGAATTATAATAAAAAATTAGGGATGAAACGTTCCAGAAAGGTCAACTTATACTTCTAGTACCAAGGAAATAAGAGCTGTGCACATGTATATTTAAGTATTTCCAGTTTATCCGATCCATGGCATAGCAGAAACATCCAAAGACTTTATTACTAGTCAAATATGAATTTTTATAAGTAATCTTCACCCAGTTGCTCATGGAACATGGAATGATTTGAAATATAGCAGAACGGTCCAAAAACTGAATTGATAAAAATATGAATAAGCCTCATTTACTGGGTCAGAGAGACTTACAGCGAGTCCCACGGCACCCAAACCAAATATTGCCACGCTTGAACCAGGTTGTACATTGGCTACATTCCAAGCAGCTCCAACTCCTTGATCGGACAAGCAAATTATACATATGTTCAGAAAATAACATGAGTTCAATATCGTTCAAAAGATAAAAAATAAGGCAAAGATTTTTAGGTCTTTACCAGTGGAGACACCGCAGCTTAAGAGGCTCATTTTCTCAAGGGGGGCCTCAGAGTCAATCTTGACAACACAGGCTGAATCAAGAACAGTGTACTGGCTGAAAGTTGAGGTGTTGAGAAAATGAAATATGGGATTCCCATCCTTGGTTGAAAACCTTGTCTTGCCATCATTTATCATCACGCTCCTTAATGGGTTCACTCCAAACTTCTGGCAGAGATTAGTTTTCTCATTTTTGCAGCAGATGCAGTTGCCACACTGTCCTTGGAAGAATGGAATGACTTTGTCACCTTTTTTCATATCTTCAACACCTTCACCAACGCTCTCAACAATCCTGGAACAGAGCATTATGATTCATGCATCATTAATCTGCTTTCTAATAAGTATTTTCTAATAAGTGCTTTCACCTGAAAATTAAAATGGGACGCCAAAATACCGGAAACAGAAACGATTAATTTCTTGTCACATACATACCCTGCTGCTTCATGGCCAAGAATCCGAGGATATGCTCTCTGAGCTTCATTCTTTAAAATAAAACCACAATGGTCAGGCTGAGTTGTCAAAGAAATTATTAAACTAAGAGAAAATCAAGAGTTAAAAGCAGTTGATTATTGGATTTTACCTCGCCTTTCCAAGCACTGAGATCCGTCTGACAGATTGAAGTGAAGAGAATCTTGACCCTGACCTCCATCTTTTGAGGGGGAGCGACTAGAACTTCTTCGATGACAAGAGGCCGTTCAGGACCCCATGCTATCGCAGCTGCAACCAGGGAAGAAGACAATCAATCTTAGAAGGACAACACAATCAAGGATTAGTCATGCGAGAAAATACAGATCGACTTGTCTGTTACCTTTGCAAGTGATGACTTTCCCTGCTGTGTCAGCTGACTCAAACGAACTTTCAAAAGATTTATGGTAACCAACATCCATTTTCCTCTTAATGAAACTGCTGATGTTGTGTCAGGCTTGTATCAAACACTTTGTCAGAGTGTCTTTGATGAGAGTGTTCTGATGAACTTGACAGGCAAGGTTTTGTGATGGTTATGCAACTTTGCTAGGATATGGCTTTTGACTTGGACTTTCAAAAGGCGGGTGTTTGAAGTTTCCTTCAAACATTATACATAGAAGCTCAGACTAATAATCTCAGATGGCTAAATGATTAAAAAATAAAAAGATGTGAGGAATTTTCTAATCAGTGACTGTTGTTTATTTATTTATTTTTTTGTACAATTTGACTTGGTGATTTTGGTCTTAAAATCAGGGTAACAAGGTAATAAGATAGCATTTTACACCGTTAGTCCTTTTGTTAAAAGTTCAAATTGTATAATAGATCCTCGTATTTTAGTCAAATAGTGAAATTAGTTTTTTTTTAAAAATTTTAATGTGTTTAAATTAAATTTCTATACTTTAATAAATTGTCAGATTTAATTAAATTGTTAACTATAAATTTTTTCGGTTAAAATTAATGAAACGGTATTTTGACTTTTTTGATATGACATTTTTACTTACGTAGTTATTAACTTTATTAATATGTCAAGTCTATATGGTACAAAATGATAACATGACAATTTTTTTGCCACGTTAGCATTTTTCACATTAGCTTTTTTTAAAATTGTACAGCTTGTCTCTATATTTTGATTAAATAATAAATTACTTCATCTACCTTAATGTGTGTTTAAAGTTGATCCATATATAGCAATTAATTATTAAATTTAAGATTTGACGTAAAATAAGTAAAATAAAACAAAAAAAACTTTTCAATGCAAATAAGTCGAGTCATAACAAAATCAATGCATAGATCAACACACGAGTTGTACTAAACCTGCTTTTTAAAATGGTGTCGTTTCAATTGTTATAAAAAAAATTTTTAATTTCTCTCTTTTCGTTTCTTTTATTCTTGTTTTTCTCATACTTCTCTTTACAAGTTTCATTCAACAAACTTGTTGAAGCATGGGGGTTCGCCCATTCATGGGTGGCCTGACCACAATATATGGTAATTGCCATAAAGCAATTTGCCTCTTGATGTAAAACTATCTTGGACAATTAGGCATGATTTTTAAACCATGAAAATGCTATTTTTTCTCTCTATTAAAAGTACGGCATTTGGCCATATAAAAAAAATGAAAATAGCATTCAGCCATCATGAAATAAGATAAGAATGGCAGTAACTTTTTTTTTTAAAATCAAGTATGATGTTTGGTCATGATGAAAAAAAATGAAAGAGTGTTCATCCAAATATGAGAAAAGCCTCATATGTGTAAGAATATGTGATGAGTCACATAGAAAACAAAAGAGGAAAAGAGAGAGACTAATATAAAGAAGAAAATTCTCATGCTTTGGTATAGTGGACAATTTTCAAATGCTTGATCTTGTTTTTAACCAGTGAATAAAGTCAATGTCGTTTCTGCAACATTTTCTCAAAAATGCTTTAGTTGTGCTTTCGCAAATCAAGTAAGTCTTTCATATTATTTTTGATATACAATCTTGTTCATCATATTATTATATTATCTTTAATTGCTATTAAAGTCAGGTTGACTTGATTCTTGGTTGTTTCAGTATTTATCTTGGAACATCGACATTGTTGACATGTTCTTGAGTTTTTATTGAAATGCGTCCATAAATTTATGGAAGTACAATACAAAAGTGCGTAATTTGTTATAAAAAGTTGTTGTGAATATTTTGAAACATTCAAATGCAAGTTGCCATTGTCGTTTGGATTATTTTGGATCAAGTTTTCAGAACTCAAAAACTTGACAGGGCATTTGAATGCCTTAAAAAATTTTTTCAATTTTTAACTTTTTTTTAATAGGTATTTGAATACCTTTTTAGAGAATTCAAATGCTTTACGCGATTTTTTATCAGATTGAAAAATAAAAAAAGTTTTTTAAAAAATAAATAAATGTTTTGTAAAAAAATTTTAAAAGTTCTTGGTTAACTTTAATAGTAGGAAAAGCATAAAAATGATTAAAATATGTTGTTATCATTATGAGATTTATGTGTGTTCATGAATTTTTTTTTGTATATGTTACAGGAAATCATAAAAATGATTGGAAGAACTCTTATTATTATAACAACTTAGGAGTAATTACTTAGAGCTACAAGGCTACTAATTGAATTAAAGCAACACCAAATGGATTCAAATGATAATGATATTGTCTGTCATATTATCAATAGTTAATGACAATTAAATAGTTGATCTTGTGAGGCAATATACATGTAAGGAGAATTTAAACATACACATAATGATGAATAGATACACCCCTTACACTAAGACAAAAGAATTTTTTTTAAAATCTTTGGATATCTAATGAGAAGAAGTGCCCTAATGTTACAACTTTTACAAAAAATTTTGAGATTTTGTAAGAAAAAAACAAAAAGGAATACGACCTTCTTTGTTAGCCCAAGTCTCTTTAATGTCATATACAAAATCCTTATATCTCTATGAATGACTAATAAGAATGTAGAATTGTCATAGTAATTTATGGATTCTATTCTAGTCACTAGATAAGTGATACATACTAAATGAGAATATAGTTTAATAAACAATGTGTATATTTAATGATATAATTTGTTTATGTGTTCAATATGTACATGTTAGACTTATCTATGTGAATTACAATTAATGTATGTCATTGATTGAAGGTAACCTTATGGTTAGTAGGAGTTTTAAGATAATTAATTTGTTTTATCTTAGAATAGTTGATTTTGCATAATGAAATAAATTAGTGATAATTAAACACATTAAAAATAAAATTTGATGCGAACATAGTGACCTTTTAGTTTTATTTTTATGTGAATGATTGTCATTATTTTATTTGTGACATTATAGTGAAATAGGTGTATATAATGCTAGGCATTAATTAGTGCATGGATCTCTCAATATTGAATTATCCTTTGAATATGATTTTTGTATTTAAGTATTTGGTTACTGAATGGAGATAATTATGAAATATGGACTATGAAAATCTAGTATGTGTTATAAGAACAATAGGTTCTTGAAATTCTAAACATTATCCTTATAGAGTCTGAGCATAAGAATACGTCTGAACATAGAAAGGACCAAAGGCTTGTGAAGTTCGGATAAAGAAAACTTCATTGCTCATATTACATTGCTAAATAGTATAGAGAATGATATGACAAGTGAGTTCAAGTAGCATAATATTGCTAAAACAGATATTGAGTGCTTTGACCGCAAAGTTCGTTTAAAAAAAAAAAGAGATTGATCACACTCTAACAGATGAACAAGAGGTTCAAACTATAATTCAGTCCTTACTACATAATTTAGAGCACATTAAGGTACACTTGACCCACAATAAGAGTATAAGGACTCTTAAAGATGCTATTTGTCATCTTCAATTAGAGAAAGATTGTATAAGAAACATTTAAGCCTAGTGTTATTGTGTATATGGCATACACATGTTTAAAAAAAACTATGAGTTTCAAACGTAGGCCACATGGTAGGAATAAAGAGAAAGCTCTTAAAAGATCAAAGAGTAGTCAAAGTGGTAAAGAGAATGGTTTCAAGGTTGGGTCTAAAACGAACAAAGTTAAAGTCAAGTACATTAGTTGTAGTAAAAAGAGTCACTTTACTTGTGAATATAATGGGACAAAAAAAAAACTCATGGACCATAAATCATGTAGCATGAAACATGAACAAAATGTATTTATGTAAGAAATAATTAAAAGATTGAAGTAAATGGAGTTGACACCTACAAGTGTATAGGCGGAAAAACCCTTATCACACATTATGTCTTGTTTGCTCTTGATATTTGATGAAATTTAGTTTCTGTCACTATTTTTCTTTGTCTAGGATTATGAATTTCAATAAAACTGATATGGATTTGTTTTTGAAAACAAATCATTATGGATTTGGATATTTATAAATGGTTTTATGATGCCAATATTAATGTGAATGCTTGGTATGCTAGACTTGGAATATGAGTTAACAAAGAATAGATAAATTAGCAAAAGAGACATTACATAGCCTTATATGATAAGGTTAATAAACTATTATGTATAAACTATCTAGCAAGGAAACTGATAAGAAAATTATTTGATAAAGAAACTATATTTCAATTTTCATTACAATTAATACATTCCAATGCTTGTGTCCCAATATATGTAAGGACATGCAATAGAGATTAATATTTTATCACATTTATAAATGATAACACACATATTAGTTTTATTTATTTGATTCTTCACAAGTTTAAAGCTTTTAAATCTTTAGAAAGTATGTATACTTAGTGAAAATTTAATTAGATAAAAACATTAAGGTGTTGTAAACTGTTCGTGGATGTGAGTACTTGCCTGATTAGTTTACACAAGTATGTGATAAAAATATTATTGATAGGTAATTAACATTTCCAATGACATCACAATAAAATGGTATTATAGAGAGAAAAAAAAGTCAATATTGGCCCAAATGAGTTTGCAAATCACTTTTGGGGTGAAGTATTGTTATCGACTATCTATATATTCAATTTAGTCTTATCCAATTCAATTACAACCACTCTCTATGAATTATGGATTGGTAGAAAACCTATTTCAGTAACTTAAGAATTTAAGGTTATATTGTCTATGTTCTTAAGTTCTTGAGTTCGTTATTAACATGACAAGGTTTAAGTCTACAATGCAAAAAGAGTATATTTATTAGATATTCTAAATATTCTAAAAAGATATGTGTTCATAAGTGAATAATTGAGTTAGAGTGTAACGAATTTTGAATTTTGGAATGTCACTTTTCTAAAAAATGAGTTTTCAAATAAGAGTGTGATAAGTTAGAAATGTTTCTTTATGAGATTAAGGATGCAAATAATTTGGTAAGTTACAAATAAATTAATGCATATTCCTAATCATAACCAACAGTATCTTATCTAAATGGGAGCATGATTAAAGTTGATAAATTTGTTGAATTTATTTTATAAGAATCATAAGTCAAGAAAAATAAAAGTTGATGAAAACAATGGAAGAAAAAAGATGAAGTCTAAGATTAAACAATATATAGGAATTGATTGATTTATCCAAAGGACATAATTCTAACATTGTAACCTATTTAGATTTGGAGTTACATCTAATGAATGTGACAAGTACCTTTCTAA